GACAATCCCAAGAGAAGAGGGTTATTTAACGATGACAATCCCAAGAGAAGAGGGTTATTTATCATTGACAATCCCAACAGAAGAGGGTTATTTAACGATGACAATACTTTAAGCAAAGCTACTTCAAAGGTAAGAAAACAAAATCTGATTAATTCATAAATAGATGTCATTTTCTGAATTATAGTCCTTGCATGATATACTTTTACATACTTTAACTGCTTATTTCTAAAAGGAAATTAATAAACATTATTGTAAGTGGAAAAAGCCGATAAGTGAAAAACAACAACTCCAGGACTTAGGTAAGAACCCAATACAGGAATTTCTTTTCGCTTATCGGCTTTTTTCACTTACAATAATAATTGTTTTAGAAATTTTACTTTCATTGATTCATCATATGAAGGAAATTAATAATTTGATTAATTATAAAACCGTACCAATCTGAACAACTGTTAAAAAAATTAAGTTTGCCGAAAATAATCAGGAAAGGTATTTGGAGAGCTCATTATTCTATTGGCATCTCGATCATAAAACTTTTCGCTAACTGTATCTGTAAGCAAAGTGAGAGTGTAATAGCTCAGTAAGATACCAAACAAGGAAGCTGTTCAAGGATCAGTGAAAACAAAGCTATTACCAACTATCAGAGCGAAAATAGGTTGAGTTGTTGTCACATTTGTGGATATTTTCACTTTCAACAAATAAATAGGATCATAAAGAAGAATCAGAAAACAACTAGTCTAAGTAACGATCAGACTCAATGTGTAAGGAAATGAGTAAACAGAACAAGTATATACAAACAAAGCAAAAAGTAGTGTTCTTGTGAAGGGCATTATTCGAGAATGTTTCCCAGACTTTCTATCAATAGAAATGTCGTCTAATGACGAAATTTATTCGATATTTATATCAGCCATGCGTATATTAAATTGTACAAAAAACGAGTGAAATATTTCCGGTAAACCTATTTATATTAAATGATGGCATTTCGAATTACCGCCCTTCTTCAGAAGTAACAACATGCCACCTACCGTTGAGCTACAATTATGTTTCATGCTAAATAAGCAGTGTAACATTGAAGTTGACAAAGAATTAAATAAAAAATGAGAAGACATAAAGGCGAAAAAGAATTGTCTTAAAAACATAATAATCTTAAAATGACGGAGTCATTACTAAAAGCAAGTGATTTGGATTTGATAGAAAAGCACGACTGGTACCTTTACCACAGCGCGATCCTCCTTCGAAACAGAATTTGGCTTCCACCACACCGAACCTGCGGAGCTCCTTAAGTGACCATGTTCCCAGCAGTTTGGGAGGAACTCCTGAGGCGAGGCAAAACATATAGTCTTGGAGATGTAGTCTTGCAGGACCACAAGGAAGCTTACTTTTTGCTGGAACGTGGGAAACCTGAACCAAGTAGCTTTGCTCTGTTGAGATTAACAACTTATGTACTAAACAAAACTGTTAAAAAAAAGTACAATAAAAATTTGAATCTTCGATAGAAATACACATATTAAAGATAAGCAACATTTACTAACGTCCACTCAATACTGTAACAGGTATGTAGTACAGAATCTAAGTGTGCATGGTAAAATTTGAAGAATAAAATAGCAGTAGGCTGAGTTTTCTAAAGTGTCAATTTGTAGTTAATGCTACGATATTACTACAGTATTTGCTGGTGTATAAGACGAAACTTTTTACTGTTAAAACAATGCCTGATTTTAACCCTCGTCTTATAAACAGGTTCAAAGATAGACTTCCAGTAAGAACTCTCCAGTTAATAGCATATTTAACCAAAACTATGTTGATCCTTTTACTTTTGTTTACTGTTTTAAGTAAGTACATTGACATCGTGCCACCTATCGCGTTACAATAACATATTTGTAATTGTATCATTTGTCTCGATTCTTCATAACTAGAAGTTATTTATCTCACATGCTAGTTACAATTAATCAAGACATTTTTTTTATTTAAAATGTACTGAACTCAGTCATACTAAAACACTGCTAATATTTTATCAAAAAATGTGTTTCTGTAATCTAAATTAATGTTGTAAACATTTTTTAATAGTAGATCACTATATCTTAAGGTTTAGTAATTTTGTAATAGAGAAGGAGTTCAACTGTTATGAAAACTTTTTAAAGTTGTTTATTACATGTTTGTGACTTAAGTTATGTCGCATTGAGCTGTCTGTAGCGTTTGAAGGGCGTAAAAAACACACTTTTGGTTGTACTGATTACTCCAGAGTGCAGATTAGCACAGTTTAAAAATAACTTCTAAGGATTTCTTTACAAAAGTAACATCCTAGAATTTCTTGACAATAGAGATCGTCTTATACAGCTAACCTCAAAGAAATACACTACTTTGCTCAAAAAGTCGTCTTATTCATGGGATCGTCTTATACACCAGTATAAATGAATGATAATGAACCAAACACTGCAAAATCCGAAGCACATTGCTAAATGCATCTAACCTCTTTTAACTATTAAAAAAGTGAAGTTCTTAAAACATATTTTAAAGGAATTTTGCACCACTGCACCATTTTACTTTTGTTCTATGTATTAATATCTAAAAGCTATATTGCGTTACTATCTACGGATACTTTAAGAAATAAGGACTGTTTTAGTTATATATCTATTTTCATATATTGGTTTATTATGAATTTCGCGC